CTATAGAAATAAAACTTGATTTGATTTGATTTGCTTTCATTAAGAGTTTGGTGTACAGATTATTGGAGTCTCTGTGTTGAGGTTGGTCCTTTTTATGTTGTTCACTGACTTAAATAGCTCACATTAGGCTCTCATCTTGATCCAATGAGGCCACAACGCCACGAGGAAATTACAAAAAAAGCCACAAATCATGATAATAATAAAAAGCACAAAAACAAAACAATAAACAAAGCGACAAACAGGAGCCAGTCATTTATTTTCCTATTATGACATCCTGTCTGTGTTTCCCAAAGCAAAGTTTGTTAACACAGCTTGTCTAACACGCCCTCTGACTGATAAATGGTGAGAAAGGGCAACATTATATTTTGGGTGAACACCCCTCTGCCCTCCTCACCTTAAAACTGAAGCTTACAGCAGGACACATATCCCCCCCATGAGCCTCTTGGGGTCCAATTAAACAAAGTTTAACCACAGCACGTAAACAAGATAATAAAATGTGGTATACGAAAGGTTCCTCTACAGAAGACAGCTTTATGGGGAACAGATTTACTTATACTGAGTAAAGCTGGCAAGAGAGGACAGGTGGGAAGAGTCAACAATTCACTTTTATCTGATCCAGTGCATTTGATTATAGCATTATGTGTTTGTTCTCACACAAACAGTGACAACTTCTGCTTTGAGTACACTCATTACTCCCCTCTCTATTGACCATATTCCTCCGTCACGTCCAGGTTCCCATAGCAGCGGCCAATTAACTACGGATATTCCTGTTTCCCCTCTCCCTTCCCGGGCTGCTCCTCCTTTGCGGGGCACTCCTTCCCACGGACATTTTTCCTACCTACCGAGTTCTGAGGATCTGTGGGAAGAAAGGCAGCCGGGCTTCGTGAGGAGGGCCCGGTCGTGTCTCACAGCAGCCCACACACACTGCCGTCAGAGTGCATTTACGTGTGACGGGAAAGACATGTTGTTGAGGGCAGAGGGGGATGGCATGCATCTGCACAACACACACATCAACACAAACGCCAATACATATGCAGATATACTAAACACTAACAAAGAACACACTCTCACTCCCATCTCGGCCTCTAACACGGAGAGAGGCTGGGAGAATAATGAGCTGGGGCTCCATTAGAAAATAACCCCAATCATTCCCAGGCTGTCTTAAAGGGAAAACAAGTCATGATTCCCAAAATCACTCCTTCCGTCTTTGTGCTCACTGAATATCACAAAACACGACTAACGCTCGAAATTCCTGTAACAAATATGTCGAAGGAACGGCCTGCTGCAAAATTAAAATGAAATCATGATCCACTAACCGAAAGTTCATAAGACCACTAAATATAAAGCTTTTTCGCCCACAAGCTTTCAGCTTAGCCTTGATCTTTCAAAATTTGGTTAAAGTTTCCAGAAAAAGCCAAAGATTTCACATTTTCTTCTCAATTGGACTCAAGCAGTTATTATTTTTCATCCCACAGCAGAAACGTGTCTTCTTCCAGAACTATTTACAACATCATAACAACTATTTTAGCTAAAAACTTCAAAATGGGTTGCACATGCTGTTTGCAGAAATTTGGTGAGACTTCATTCTGGTTTGGGATCTATAAAAAGATCCTCCCACTTAATTTCTCATTATACAGCATGTTTGTTGTTTCAACTGACAATACTGGGAGTAAATGAATGAGTGAAATGTCATTTTGTGGTGAACTATTTTCCTAAGCTTGCTCTCATTCTCACTGAATCTTTTCCTATCTCCTCCAGCAGGGACACTTTACTTGTTTGTTTCCTAAAGTAACACAACCCACAGGTATGTTGTGAACAACAAAACGAGAACACCTCAAACCAAGACACACGCATGATTTTGAAACCTTGTCATAAAGATATTGTGGTGATAGGTCACAGGGTCACGGACAAGCCTTAAGAGCGAGTTTCATTCACTGTATCTGCAATGCACATAATAAAGAACATAGATTAAATACATAACAAAGGCACAACAATTAAGAGACAAATGTAGAAAAAAAAGCTAATTTTTAATATCTAAATCAAACCTATCCTAAGTTTGAAGCAAGAACAATTGTCGTAGTAAAGTAAAAAGCCTCTTCTCTGATAAAAAAAACCCCTCAGAAAACAACAAGGACACAAGAAAATACGTTCAGTCTGTTCATAGTCACTTTAGCTAACTTTCTGTTAAGCTATCCCTGTGTGGACTGCAAGCTAAACCAATCCATTTATTATTTTCTCAGTTGCAAACATAAAAGTAATTATCTCTGCGTGGAGTTTAAATATCAACTGTTCTAAAAAAAAATCATTATCATTTGACACTACACTGCATATTTCTCTCATTATATGCCAGGTTAGATTTACTGCAATGCATACAAGACCCATAAACGTAAGCAAAGCTGACCTTGAAATAAAGTCAAGCCACAGAATAGAAGTGACCATAAATCATGGAGGCAACAAAATGACCAGAGAAGTTATAAAGCAAATGTGAAAGAAAGTGAAGCAGCCAAAAACAAAAAAGGGACTAGGGCCTAACTAGGGATTAGGGAAAGAGAAAGTGATGACAGTCTGCTGGATATACTTAAGTATGACTTTGTGCACACATATAACCAATTTCCGCAGTAGTGAATGCAATAAAATCAGAAAGAACAAGCGGAAATGTGTACACAAGTTAAGTGGTGTAGAGTGGAAAAGGTATTTGGACAGAAGAGGAGGAAGAAAAAACAGAATGGTGTGTGTGTGTGTATGCCCCTAGCTTTAAACCGTTAGCAGGATGCGGTTGGCTCGGCAGCAAACCAGCGTTTTACTGGTTCCCCTGGGCAGCGTTATGGAGCGGGCTGTGTGTCGCCTCGCCATCTTTACAGAGCAACGGTGATTAGAGGCCCGACGTGCAGTAATGCTGTTGCAGCCACCAGACTGTGATTTACATGACTGACCGAGCAACTGCCCCGTTATGTACAAATATGTGGAACAGACACACACACTTTCCTATTCTGCTTATTTAACTGCAGAGAACAGAGTGGCAGGACTTCAAGCTTGAGGAGTACGGGTGTAACAACGCACAGTGTTTTATTTTTGATAGTAGAATAAATTGGGGAGTGGAGAAGGCTTTCAAATAATATAATTACAAAAACATATATAAAACAGTTTGAAAGTTGAAGTTTTGAAATGAATCAATCTATGTCTCATAAAAGAAAGCATTCCTTATGATATACAGAAAAGGTTAAATACAATAATCTTTGCTTTATAACAAAATACCAAGTCATCTCATGGAATCAATTAATATCATTTTAAATTGCAATTTTGTTTACCCTTAAGCGAACAGTTTCTTCATTAGGCCCACATTGCAACACTGTATTTTACATTGGTATTCTATTTATTTGTTCTAATGGGACAGCTAGTTGTGGCTACAATCAGATCATGCTGACTTGGAATCAGAGGTTTTTCTTGAGCAGCTTGGCTGTAAAGCTGAGGAAGCAGACCACTTCTGCAAAACAAATAACAGGCAGTCTCTAGCATGAAGGTGAGTCGTCGACTACGTGAGCTCTGGAGACGCCGGTCCTCCTCACCATCCAACACATGGAGCAGACTAAGATAAATAACTCACCCACAGTGTTACCTGGATAACATCAGCTCTGGTATTGTCATTTGGATACAGAGGTTTATGTTTATGAGGGAGGAAACCGAGATACAGAGCAAGAGGATTGATTTTGTGAGCCTGTGTGATTGAGTATAACGGGGTAAGATTGATTTCCTTCTTCATTTCTCTCGAACACGTAAAACTCAGTTTCATCACGACTGAGGAGCCACATCTGGACCCTGTGGGACGTGCGTGAAATCATTTCTCTATTCCTGCAATTTGCTGTAATGCCTTGCAGATGGCACAGTGAATGTGTGTGTGTTGCATGTAACAACCTTACAGTAGGAGCAGAAGGAGAAAAGCACGAGACTTTGTGGAGACAAGCTATCAGAAAGTAAATAGTACAAAATACATGTGGCTCAACAAGTGGAACTAAAGTGTTGATTGTCCAGAGGATACTGAGGGGGAGGGTTGTTTAAGGAGACGCGGGGATGGCCTCTGGGCTAATTTGTTGAATATTTTCTTGTATCTGTATGCTTTCAGCAAGAGTCACTTGAGTGACATCACCACACAGATACATTTGTCCTGCTTTAATTGTGTTATACAGTTTCTTGTCAACATTTGGAGAGAACAGACGTTCTGCATGAACATGTAGGTCAAACATATACAAATATTTAAGCACTGTACACAAGAGGTTTCAAGTTTCCAGTTAATTCTGTGACATGTGGCTAAAAGTACACATCCGAGGTGACACGGTCCCTGAGAGCTATCACCTTACTGCACCTTGTTGGGACTGGCTGACATTGAAATAGTCTGCCAGCTGCCGACGGGTAGTTTGTCACTGGCATTGGGAAGTATTCAATAGCTTTCTCAGCTTTCTCAGATGGCTCAGTGAATGAAGCGACCATATGTACTACTGTTCAGTGCATGTACCCTGGAGGCAATGGACAGTCCCACTGTAAGGGATAAAGGGTGTGAATAGATACAATTCCTCCATACATTTAGTATGGAGGAATTGTAGTTTGATTTGGTATGGTCCCCACATTTGCCCTATGGCTTTAAGCATTATTTTCAAGCCAACTTGCTTATTTTTCAGTTGAGCTGATTAAAATGCATGTTTAAAAAATAATTTAATTTAATTTAATTAGGAAGTAATCATTCAAATTAAACGTAACTTAAGTGTTTGAAGCGTACACAATGAAACCAGTAATGTCTCTCGCTTAAAACAGGTCGTTCAAGTAGGCATTAAGTTATAGCGAACTGAAAGGCATTCCTCTCCTTAACCCTCAGCCAAGCTGCAAGGTGAGGAGCTGCTCTCTGTGCAGCCCTGCGCTCTGCTGCTGTGCGCCTAGCCCCTCCCACCTCTCCGCGTAAACTCTCCTATGTGCTCACCAATAAAGCGCTTTTTGTCCATGGGAGGCAGCACTTGAGCATTCCTTGACGTGGATGTCGGTGTATCTCTCCAAGGATTTGATGAAGATCGTTCGCTACAAGTGTAAAACATTCACAGAAACTTTTTGTGAGAGCGCCCACACGGAAAACTACAAGGTCTTGGAGTTATATCGGTGAACTGCTCCATTTGGATAAACACACGAGCGCGACTGCGCTCAAAACTTTACTTCTTCGAAGTTAAGGGTAAGAGTTTCCCGTTATGAATGATAAAATAAACATAACAATGCCATACTTTGTGGATCTAACCCTTATAACAGGATCAAGACGTGCGTAAATACGCGTAAAAAGTGTTATGCAGTTGGGTTGAATATGCTTCTAAAAACAGATAGATTAACTGCACATATAACCTGATTCATTTTCAGGTTTATGTTCCCTTATAAACACAAGCCACCACCCATCGGTGTTCATTTAAGTTGTATTTGTGTTGCGACAACTCCCTTTAGGGAAACCCTCAGTGTTTTAGTGCAGTTCAACAATAACTTGGTAGTATTTTAAAAACGGTTTTAGCTTACAGCGTGGGATTGTTCAAATACTACGTTTTCTTCTCAATGCATGCAGCTACCTTTTTAAAATGCAAAAGAAAAAACACTTTTATTAAAAAATGTAGTTCTTTGTTGTAAGGAGTTTTAAATGCACATGATCGCTCCGGTGAGCCGGTGAAAAGTAAACGGGATTTTACGCAAGTCTGTCGCCATGCACCAATTCTTCAGATCGGCCAATAGTGACAATAAAACAGTATTGGAGTAAAGCGTAAAACTTGAGCGTGTGCGCGGAGCTGCAGCAGCAGTCAGGGCGGTAATGAGGCGGGCTGGTGTGGGACCGCAGGACGCCGTGCAGCATGCAGGGGCCGAGCCGAGAGTCTAGACCGCACCGAGCACAGTTCACCGCAGAGGGGAAGCTGTTTTTGGACCCACACAGGGGGGAACGTCCCATAACAGGGACCTCAACATGACACTATCGCTGCAATGGTTTTGAGGTGTCAGATAATGCAAAGTCAACACATATTTTAGCATGAGGCTGCACCTGGAAACAAGTGGAGGTTGGCAATATCCAGGGTGCCAGTAGTTATCTTCTAGGCGTTTTTTCCCTATTTCTGGTAGATACATTATTTCACTGTAGACTTTATGCACACACTCTCAAAGTCTTGCAAAGCAACGCCATGCCTGACTTTGTTAAGGCTTTGAAACAAAAACAAATCTTTAGGAATTCATGAAGCAAATAAATCTGCAACACCATATGATGGATTGATTGTCTATTCAAATATCTTAGCTCTGTCATAGTTATTGGCCAAGTTTCAGTCACAACCATGATTGATTCCACCACGCTATATTATTAATAATGTCAATCAAGAGCTACTGTTATAAATGGGTTAAGCATTTTTATAACACATAGTCTACTCTGATTGAAGTGTTAAAAAGTCCAAGAGCTGGATTTAATCAATCATTAGGTGTTTTAGCTGAAGGTGCTGCAATGGACAGATGGATGATACATTGGCTCAGATGAAAAGATATGTACAAGTGGAAATCAGAGAAACATCACCTTCCTTCAGTGTGCACGGAGCAGAGCAATGATAAGGTCAAATTCCTGAAAGATTAAATCCCTTATCGACCAAGCCACAAATAAACTAACACCCAATAGGACTTACATGACTTAACGTGTATAGCCCAATCGCTGAATTACAAGTTAAACAGCAAGTCTCATCTCATCTCATTTGACCAAATATAATGCCAATAAATTAAACTTTCTCTGAGAGGGTCTTAAAGAAGAAGCTTCATTTTGTCCCAAATAAGTTCTTTAACTTTGCTTGAACTTTAAAAAAAACTTGCCAGCATTTTGACTCAGTCGGTGGGCCGATGACCACAAAAACATGAACAAACCAGTCCTTGTTTAAGATTAATCCCGTAGTGTTAACATTGAAATAAGCGAGATGTAATGATTCCCTATTAAATGAAAGACCCAAACCAACAGAAGCCACAAAACTCAACTGTGAATCAAAATATACCCGGGTAAAATACTCCACACATGCCTTTCGTCTAAGATGCTTAATTCATATAAGAACAATCTTCTGACCACGATCCCTCAAGCTTTCATTCAGATTACCATCTTTTACACAGCCCCCACAAAAGAGGCATGCAAAATCGCCTAATCCTTCCTGGGGGCTAAACAGGCGGCGTAAACTACTCCAATGGCCCCGCTATTAACCCCTACCCCGGTGTACGGCTTGTTTCCTCGCCATGTGTTTCCTCACAGGCTGTCATTATGCTGTAGGAGAAGCTACTGTGTCATTGACAGTATATAATGGTTGTAATTGGTTTATATTAGGCTACCAGACACAGCAGCACAGCCACAGGAGACCAATTATCCCTCACTAATGTGGAGAACTTTCAGGCTGCTACGATGCACAGATTGTAACACTTAGAAAACAAGAGAGTGGTTGTGCCAGTGTAGTTTCTTCCTGATGTTGCTGCTGCTTTCTGTTCTCCACACAGCAGACTGTTGTGTTTGCACAGACGCTTGTTGACACTGACATGCGCTGCACTGCGAAAGGACAAACAGAAAGAAGTATGATGTAGGTCTCTGTGGGGGCAGATACATACATGGTGTAAAGTTCTTCTCCTGACCTGTGATGTGAACCCACACCTTGTCATACAAATTATTCATAACGTTTTGGGACACATGTGCAATTGTGTATGCTGGTGTGAGCATTGAGAGAGACACATAAGCACACTGGGTGGATTATCTGCCCCAAGGGACTTTTCTTGCACTCTCATTGTGGTTTGTGGATAGGAAGCACGACTAAGGAAAAGGAGCTCTTTGTCATAAAACCTCAAATGTAGGCAATTAAAAGTCAGCTCGATATCACATCAGTGTGACAGTGATTTCGAAACCACACTTTCCATCCGGGATCTGGAAACCAACAGTGTGTCAGCCTGAACTGTCATCCTTTTATTTTTACAAAATCAAGACTTCCATTTCATTATCTGTGCCAAAGAGCTTGAGTGAAAAGAGCACTGATGTCAAAATCTTCTGCTTAAGATGATTGACAGTTTTCTTCTTTCATTTGTTGTGTTAAGACATGTCTAAACACATCTGCTTCACATATTTCATGCACTTGTGCTTCCTGTAAATGTACTTATTAACACAACTCAGCACAGTTTCTTTATGAAAGTATAGAGTTGCAACTAAAAAAAATCGGGCATTTTGTGAGCAGAGGATTTTCACATTGTGCCTCGTTCCGCCACAGCTCCGTTTTACGCCAATTAGAGGCAGTGCCTGAAGCATCTTACCCTCAGAGGGATTAGAGGGTTAAAAGTCAGGTGCTGAGGCGAGGAGGCCTTGCAAAGGGAGGAGAGGAGGTGGAGGTAGCAGAGGACAAGAGTGGGGCACTCACACAGCAGGGAGAGAGAGCGGAGTCGACAGGGCAGAAAGTTGGAATAAGTGTGCGAATACGTGTGTTTGTTTTCCACAAGGCCACGTGAAAGGAAGGGCTTCTCACAATTAGCAAGACGTATGTATGAGTGCGAGACAATTCAACATGTAGAAATTCTTCCTCCTTCAAAATGAAAGGCTGCAGCGTGCCCCTCGTCAGGTGCTGCACAGCAGGGGGGCGTTCCCTGGTGGACAACCAAGAGCCTCTCTCTCAACGAAGCGTCTTAAATAAAAACCCTCGGCTTCAAGGGCTTCAGCCTCACACATCAATGCTGACCCAGCGGTATGCTGAGGCAAACCCCAGCCTGTACGCCTGCCAAGCTAAATTGAAGAAGAGCTTGCCGATGCGGCCAAATGATGCGTTCAGAAGAACCACTTCAAAACCTTGCATAAATATACACACACATGCGAAGGGATCTGAGGGCTTTGGAGTGCCCCAGCTTGAGAGCAAACCCCAAATAACTGCTGTCCTCCGTGTCCACAGACATACACATGCTCAGAGTTGTACGGTTTTACTAGTTTGTTTATCTTAAAGCATATGAATAAAAATAAGCTTTACATTAAATAAGGGTTTTCTTGAACTTTCTCATGTTGGTTGTAAAATCTGAAGAAAGCCAAAATATTCCCCGAATTCCTAAACCAACTCCAGGGAAGTATTGAGGGAGTGAGATACAGATGGAAAATGAGAGAGAGAGGATGAGAGGGAGGATGCTCATCCCAGAAATTCACCACAAATTGCTGCATTTCAGTAGGCTTGTAAAAAGAGAGAGAAACAGCTCTTAATCTAAGGTTGTAATTACCTCTGGCCAGCACTGCAATTAGGAAATGAGCCTTGAACCAGATATTCTGCTGGGCAAGAGCAAAGCAAGGGCACACACACAACGCACATTACACACACACACACACACAAACACACACACACTGTTTGCCTAAAACCTGAAGTGGGAAAGATAGATCTCGCGTTGAGAAGAAGGTCAAATATTTAACCGCTGAAACGAATGTTAATGTTTTACTGAATATGGATTGAATGACAGAGTACATTTGCTCGGTTATGAGGTGTGTGTACCTGTGGGTTAGTGTGTTCCACCCATTGTCCACGACCTTGTTTGTCAAAAAAAGTGGTCACGTTCACACACCTTTTCATACGATCACGTCGTACATACAAGCCCATACGCACGCACGGGCAGAGCCGCTCTCTAACATGACATCAGTCGTCGTGTCCTGTGCTCCCCTTTTGCTTCATGTCTATTTCCGTTTCTGCCAGGGACACAAATAATGTTGTTATCTGCTGCTGTCAGCGCCGTAAGAGAGCTGGAGGCGACTTAAGAGAGGAAATCAGCACGTATACCTGCCTGCATGTTTATATCTGAATGCCATCGTCTAACAGCCCCGAATCTTAATCACTCAACGCTGCAATCAACGGCCGAGCAGTCGGGACACAACTTGTCACAGCTTGTCGCCCGTTTATATATTCAACATAAATATCAAAACAGGCATCACACCTACAGCAAACAACAAGCTTCTTTGTGTTTATCCCAGCCGCCCTCTGCAGGTTGGCTTTGGGCTATAATTTAGACAAATTGCTGGACGTTTTAGATGATGCAAAGTGCTCGGCTCTGTAATGCTTTGGGAGACATTAAACCAGATGGGGGGGAAAGAAAGGGAGTGACACAGAGAGGAAAAGAGAAACAGAGAAGGAGAAGGGTGAGGCGATATTTATGTTTAGCAGATGAACACAGAGGAAGAAAGAAGATTATAGTGGACAAAAAGTATCAGCCCTCTAAGAAATGGAATGACAAATATAGCTTCTTGAAAGGAGAGAAGTATCAAAGTAAACCAATAAGCCAGCAAAGAGAAGAAAGGAAAGATACTAAGCAAGTTCAAAGATACTACGAGTGATTTGTCAGTGCACACTTTAAAAACCAAATGTCTCATGGAAAGATGTGGAGAAGGTAGCCTGAGCTATGAGGGCAAACCAAGACAGGAATATAGTTGGTGACAATTTTGCCTTTTACAAAAGTGCTACAGACATCCATGAAGCTTAGTTGTGAAGATGATACTGCATCTATTTTGAGTGCAGGGTTCCACTTTAAAAGCAAAATATTTACACTACAGTCAAGGGATTGTCTGCGAGGGAGACATAGTGACCTCAGGAAACCGACCACGGCAGGGTCAGCAGACAAGAGCCCGCACACAGAAGTTACACACAAGGTTGTCAGTCCCCCATTCACAAGATTACCCACTACTTTATATCATGCATTAACCTTCACAGATAAGTGAATGTAAATAACCAAATATAATACTGGGCATTCATTAAAGCATACACAAAAGTCTCTGTGCAGCAGAGAATAACACTCCCACAGACCAACAAACACCAAGTGCATTAAAAAAGGATCTGCAGCAGGTCAGCGAGCAAAAACCAACGCTGGACTGTGACAGATTATTTACAGATGTAAACACTGCACTCTGTATGGGAGCGAGCGTGAGATGCAGGATGACTCACAGATGGTATATGCAAAGTTAGTAGAGGATTCAGGCATTACATAATCACATGGTTTAGCACTCTGCTTTCAATCTTGACATACTCTTTGACTCAGAGTTTAGGAATATGAAATATGGCTTTAAAACAGTGCATGGTGGAAAGATACTGGAGGAGGGAATAGTGTGTGAATAGATGTGTAGTTAAGAGTCCACCTCTGCTGCAGGAATGGGGGAACATACTGTGTGCATCATAGCTAATTATCTCTTAAACTGTTTTACGACCATGCCTTGAATTGATTAAATACAAACTTAAATCTGCCATCAGAGAACATTTTGATGTAGTTGGTTGTGGCCAAATGTCCCACATTTATAAAACATCTATCAAGTGGTCACTTTGTTTTTCCCCAAAACCAAGTTATACAGTATTTATGACCCCATGGACTTGATGAAAACATTTTTATAGTTTTATTTGGCTAAAATAAATCAATTCATTCAAAGCAACAAACACATGGACGCACGCACAAATTGTTCTGTGGTGATGGATAATGACGCAATAATACATTTGGGCCCAACAAGCTTATACGACATGAAATTAAAATGGTTCCTGTGTTTCATTTTAAAAGCTGAGGGCCTGTTCAGCAGCAAGAGCTTGTCTTAAACACACAAAAACAAACACCTGATCAAAACCCTGACTGACGGAAAGCACAGGCAAACACTTCTATATCCTGCTTTGAAACATAAATGAATTCCTCAAATGTTAATCTTTGTAGTCATTGTGAATTTACCTTTGATGCCCTCTTAAGGCAGAATACTGTTCTCAAGGAGGTGAAACTCAAAGTATCATGCAGATCATACTGTGCTAAAGCCAAAACATCATATAGGGGTTTAAAATGCTGTCTTGTGTTATGTTTAAGTTAACGTTTTAAACACCAAGGCACACACACAAGACACTCTCTGGCCCCGGCTGATGGGCTGATACCACAGAACAAGGAGCTGACAGAGTGGAGAGCGGTCGGCCTGCATTCTTCCACTCTGTCGTTCTCTCTCGCTGCCACACGGCCAGCCAGCGCTCAGCACGCTCCCGCACACAGCTGGAATCCACCCAATTACCAGGCAAAAAAACTTCCTGTTTTGCTTGCGGACAATTAACAATGAACAACAGGGGGGGTGGACTCCAAATAAGTGGGGATAAAAAATGTAAGTCACATATTTGTCTAACAGCTAAAACTGTTTTGTTACTTCCAGGGAAAAGAAAACCTGAAACCATAAAAGTGGAGCGATAGCAGAGGAGGAAGCTTCTCCAACTGGTGAGTGAAGCTTTGAAAGACAGTTGTATTATTACACTGTGTCATTATGTGTAAGATGTGGCTACTAGAGTACACACTTACTTTTCAAATCAGGAATAGTTTACCATCAGAATACAAAAAACCTTAACTAGCATATGACAAGCGTCATAATAATACACTACTTGAATTTGCATCCAGAAACCCAAATCACAGGCTGTTGGCGGTCCTTATTGTGTTAACCGTAACACCCTGCTTCCTCCAAAAGGTCCTTTCACACAACACTGAGCCTCTTAACAAGACTGGCAGGGGAACAAGAGCAGCTCTCTTAACACACACGGCATTTAACAGATACAGTGAGGCTGTGTAGGGTTACAGACAGAGTGAAAAGGAGCAGAGAAAAGTGAGGAAGTTTGGAGTTTACTGTGCCTGCTGAAGTGAGTTGTGGAATAATGAGCAGACTTCTTATATGCCCTTATAAACATCTACAGTGAGTCGTTTTTAAAAAATATAAAAAACAAACAATAGATACATTCTTTTGACAGAATTGGATGAAGTCATTTTCAATGTATGTTCCAACATATTTAAAAGGATAGTGTGGTGATATTCGACCCTCCTACAGTCTATTAAATGACCTATTAGAATATTATAAATATTGCCTATTTATCCAAACTCTGATATTAATTGCTCTCTGCCTCTGTATTGATATCCAAAATATCAAAAACACATTAATGAGCTGCACTATTGCACTGGTTCCTTCATTGCAATGAACATGGGCACTGTAGTTTATCCCTATATGATCTTCCAAGCATGACATCAACATTTTTCCTTTCCAATATAAATGGTATTTATCTAAAACGAATATTTACCAGTTTTAAGTGAAACATAACTTTGCTTGGACCCTAACTAATATCATCCATCATTGTGTCTCTGGGGAGAAATGTAGCTTTTCTACTTTACACAGCCCTCCTGACCCCTACCCTCTGTCCTACCTCATTCCTCTGTTGTGCTAGTTGTCAATGAGCTGTGACAGGAACTGTGTGGGCTTGTAAAGACACACACATGCACAGGACAAGACTGAAGCCTCGGGCCTCTGGACGCACACAGCTTCTCTCGCTAATTGCCTTAAAGCTCCTGCCTCCGTCAGCCTGGTCGTCCTCAGGGAGAACAGAGACCAGGGGAGAGTAGTTGTAGCTCAGACTTCTTCTTCTGGGGATACATTCTGGCTGTAACATATGAACACATTCCTCAGGTTTAGGAATTTGCGAATTTGTACCCGCTTGCTAGCTGTAAATTATTTGCTACACATAGGCAATTCATCATGCTAACATACAATGTTTCTGCCTCAATCCTGAAGTTTCAACATCAAAGGCTGAAACACACTATGATGAATTACAGCACATTATGTGTGTGTTTTACCTGGCTTTTTTCCCTGTATTTTTCCTACACATGGCTGCCACACCTAATGTATGTATTTGAATGAGCTGCACATGTCGAGGCTCCATATCAGAGCCAAATGTCTGGCTGTTAGCGGCCTGTGTTTTCCATTAATGTGGCCTTTTTTCTCTGCGAGTTAAACTTCTAGACTTGAAGGTGAAAAACAGCCTTAACACAACTTCCCCCTCCAGTGCTCACTAACGCCTTGACACCGTAGCCGCTGTGCATAGCTGTAATTTACTGTTAATAATGTTAATATTTCAACCTAAAAGCAAACATGGAAGGGCAAACAAGGGTGCTACAGTACAATGATACTCTAACAGAGACAGACTCGTTTACATTAGACACACACACACACACGGATCACACGTGTGAGGAAACACACAAGCGCGCATTGTTCTAGTGTGTTACAGGTCAGCTCAGGAATCTACGGTACTCGCTTAATGACGTTTATCAACGGATGTGAAAGCAAACAAACTGCTTTTTATACAGACAAATTGCTGTTCACTGCTACAAAAACAAAGCATCATTCATTCCCCTTCTCTGTGTGTGTGGCAATCTGACAAGTCTTCCGTAGATGACAGTGTGACTAACCCGAGGGCACACGCACACACAGATACTGTACACAAATACATACAGTAGATCTCCATTATATCCACTAAAGGTCAGGTTAAAGGTCCCTTTAAAAGTGTTTATCCTGTTAACTTCAAAATCACACTTTACATCGGAGTTAGATATCCTGTAAACCATGGTGCTGTGTTTTTAGAAATTTGAATATGTTTTGTCTACCATTGAAGGCATGTATAGCTTTCCATTCATGACCACAAATTATGAAAATCTGCTAACAGACTGTTGGAACTTGGTATCAAAGTAATGCAGTACAGTATTTTCAAATCAAACTGAACTCAACCTGCATTACCAGACAGTAACAACGTAACATAACATCATTTAAACCTGTTCTGAGTGATGGATTAGACAGCTTAAGTCAGCTTCAATAGTATGTTCATATGTGAGGAAATGATTTGAATCCAAAGTGACAGCAGCAGTGTAAAAAAAAAGTTGCATTCAAAAGTAGGAAATAAGAAATCAAAAGTTGCAAAAAACTCCAGTTTGGAGTGTGTTTGTGTATTTTTCATATGATTGTGTATGAACAGTCAGTGTGTTTATCAGTTTCTCTATGCAGATCATGCTGCGAAGATTTGGAAATAAGAACAAGTTCATATTCTAGTATAGTCTAAGAAATGCACACTGAATTCCTTAGTGCACCAAAGTGTTGCCTTCAGCAGATGTAAGCAGTCTGTGTGATGGAAAGTGTTTATACCTCCCTTTCTGTCCCTACAGACCTCCCCTTTCTTCTCTCTCACCTTGTTTGAGGAATACTCTGATTGTGCACACCTGTTACGGGAGTTACGAGTGAACGTTGATGTAATAATAGACAGTCGCTGACAGGTGTCTTTGCTCTCGCTCAGAAAGCGGGGCTCACCTGTTTTAATCAGTGGAGAATGCAGGTCGATGTGATAATCAAATCATGGATTAAAGATTGATGTTGGCTCGAGGGTGCGGTGACATTGGAAAATGAGGATTTCATTGACTCTAATAGGATAGAGAAAATATATGGAAATGATAAAAGTGAAGTACACAACCAATCAAATCAGACGTGTGTCTAAAAAGCCACTCTGACTGTTTAAAATCAAATCAAAATGTGGTAGAAATGTGTAACAAACATATCAACACTCTTCAGGAGGTAAAGGCAGGGTACTGGAGGCGAGCCATGGAGAGGCATGTTGGGGGCGGGGGGGGGGAAATGTGCTGCTTGACTGCTATTTTGCAAGCCAACCTCCCCAGTGCTGGCGCGACACCAACTCAGGCAGTAGTTACACAATAAATTCCTTTGTGTCATCCTAATCTGCAGCAGTGATCTTCCTCTCACATTTATCTTGTGTGTGTGTGGCTCATGTCTGAGGTGTTGTTTTTTTATGAGGTAAAAGCCCGCAGGCCAGAATTACAAGAAAAATCACAAACGGTTACTCTTGGAAAAGGGGTGTGAGGCTGGGTAGCACTGCACAATGCCTGCCTTCAAATGGAGGTTGCAGAATGGGAAAAAAAATCCCACAAAAAATGTATTGTACGTGTCCAACATGATTTATATTATGTCATTAAAACCTGAATTTAGAAGTGATTCTGTCTTACTTTCAAACCATACTCATTCCATGACAACATGCACTACCAACAATGTCACAAGTCATAGTGAACAACAACCAATAAATAACTCATTTGTCAATCAACAATACATTCCTTGCTTCCTTCCCCTGCAGACATAGCAATCATCTCTTACTGTACATTGTTATTATGAACTTCTTTCACTCAGATTGACAAAGTGAGAAATGGTTGCGTGTAAAACGAGTTGTCAGACCTTATTGTAACTGCAGATCTGAACACCTTGACCTTGAATATATGCACACAGTCCGACAGAAAGACTGCTCTCTGCTAATGAGCTGTGAGTTGGTGTGTCCTGGCCAAGTTTCTGTTTACCATCCCATTCTTTAGCCTTCAGCCTATTGAACACTTTGACAACTACCGTTACCTAAAGACCCTGCAGGGCTTTTCATAAGATTCCAGTCATACTCATGCCAACTACATGAACAAACCTGAGAGTGAGAAAAGAGGTGAGCAAAGGGGCAAGGTGAAGACAACAATTGTAGGATGTGTCAAAGAAGAGTGGCTCCTGTAAGTTGTCCAAAGCACTGATTGATGCTTTGACATCATTCCAGTTGAACTATTCTACAGTATCAGTTGAGACTTATTGAACTTCCTCGAAGCCAGAGGACATACTCAGGTGAGTCACAGCAGTGCTTTTAAGGAGCGAGTGAAAGATGATGGACAGACCGATGAGCAGACAGGCAGATGTGTAATTTGCGATTGTTTCCTCAGCGAGTACGTGTGATACTGTTTGTCTAACGAGGATAGTCAGGCTGCCAGTCAGCCGGTCTAACAGTCTGTCAGTGTGCCTGCCTGACGCCTGACTCATACACATTTGCTCCAATTGAAACCCTTATAGTTGGATTGCAACAAAGGACAAAGGTAAAACAAAACAGTGTCAACAGCCAGTGCGGAACTTGACTTCATCTTTTATACAAAAAGACAAGAATGATAGTTTAAGCATGCTGTCCAAATATGTCCTGACAATGACACAAATACTTTTTATCAAGGGATATAGAAAGAAACAACCTTTCAAACTCTGAAAACATATATCCTATACGCATCAGGTAGATAAAGATCAGGTGGCTTGGTGAAAGAAAAATAGCATTGCAGTCATGTTGGAGCTGGAATGAATGTCAAAGAGCTAGGCAGAGAGTCGGAGTGTGCATACATCAATCCAGGCTTGTGGCGGACTGATATAACTGGTCCATCCAGCCACTTCAAACAGCAACCACACACACTGCACACACATTGCCCTGTCCCTGCTTAAGGCCAGATCCTCTGATGTTTGATTTAGAAGACTATAAGCCGTTTTGAGATGTCACTTGCTGTATCTTACCAGTTTGTTTTGGGTGTCCCTATCAGAAGGACAAAGCTCTGAAACAACA